CTCTTTTCATGCTCATACAAGTGCTAGAAGAGCCCACCTTATAAAAAGGTGCAACTACCAGTCAACTAGCGGGGTGGGACTAAACTTTAGTCTCACTCACACCATTCACAGCCATGCATGAATGGGCCATGATAATTTCAGATTTTTAGTTGGGCTTTGGGCCAAAGGCCTACTAACAAATTCCAACAATCCCCCACAAAGTCTCATTGGCACATGCCATCCTTTAGTTCCAAAATATTGTTTATATATCTGTATTTAGTGAAGACCGTTAAGTTGAACTTCCACTTAGAACTTTTTGCTACACTAGACCACAACTTCAATAGTGGACTATGCCTTGAACTACAAGTTTTCTGGGGACTAGTTTCACACAAATCCTTGGTCGATAATGGGCTGCAGCAAGCCTTCCCCGCGGGTGGAGCGTATACGCCATACTCCAAGGTCTTTCCTGAATTTATTAGAGAACACCCAATTCTCACAGACTGCGACGTTTAACAGTCAAATTTATGTAGGTGCGTTCATCAGGATATGCTCTGCAGGACAACATCTCTGCTTATATAGATAGGCCACTTGGAACACATTAAGACAAGTGTATTAACCTACCATGCAGATTAGGAGAGTATTGCATCTTCACGGAGTGGGATAATTAATATAGGGATATTCTCCTCCCAGCTGACCGACAGCTTGTCTCCCACTTTTATTTCACGGGATCTCCGATCACATAGAGTAGGCTACCATTATGGGTAACTCATATGGTGGGTATCAAACCCATCTTCATCGACGCATTATCTATCACACTGCATGATAAAACCCTTTGTGAAGGGATCTGTCAGGTTCTTAGACGTTTGGATGTAATCCAACATAATAACACCAGACGTCAGGTTCTTAAAAGTTTGGATGTAACCCAACGTAATAACTTCGGAGTTCAATCTTTTTGACAGATTTCAATCTCCTCTTCACATGCCTTGAGGCCACTATAATCCTATGTAATAAGACACAACAAAGACGAAAAATACACAACTCCTGGGCTACGCCTTCAAGAAGGAATTGCCACATGGTTGAACTCGGGATTCTCATACTCAAAGCCAAACTTCAATTAACCACCTTCAGCAAGAACACGGCGCAGGCACGCGTCGACATAGCCCGATTTGTGATCTTGTATTTCCACCGGAGTGCATAAACTCGTCGTTGAAGCCTACTATACCATCCACCCTTATCCGTCTACCGACGCCTCGATAGCCGGATACCACTGGAGAAGACAACGGAAGACAAAGACGTCCCATACGGCCTGCCTCCCACTACTACTGCACCACCTTTGATCCAACAACAACAGTCTAAACATGAGACCTCCACCAGAGCCACCATGCATCACCTGCCGATAGCAGGCATGACTTGACGTCTCCACATAAGACGTTGTGCATAACATCCGTCGGTAGCGCATCCACCGGTGGCTCCACCTGCCGGCGACATGCATTGCCTGACAACTCCGAAAGAGGCACATGTGTCACCCGCCGAGCCACATCGAACCCATACCGCCACCACCTCGAGATCCAGACTCCGAGTCGCCCACACGACCTCAGAGTCCGCCGCCGTTGATGAAGAGGGGCCGCCACCCTGATTCTGGGCGCTACAGGGAGCACCCACCATCCCGCCAGCCGTTGTCGTCGCCCATACAATGGCAACCAACGCCATGATCCCGCATCAAGCGCCATCGATGCCGGAGGAAGCTCCAGCTGCCACGTGCGTCCTGCGACAAGCTCGGAAACGGGGTCCCAAGATCCGCCGCACCGGCCGCCACAAGGACCCACCACCTGGCCCGTCATCCCTGACAGAGGGGACGCCGTCACCACCATGACCGGATCCGGGCCAGACTCCGCCGTCGCCACCGCCACCGGTCATGCCCAGCCCCACCTCCATCCTCTGGCCACGCCCATCTGATCGCCACGCCACGCCCAGCCGAACTCCACCCTCTCCGTTGGAAGCCGCCACGCCGCCGTGCCCTGAATCAGCATGACGCCATCGCTGAAGCCGTCGTCCCGCGCCACGCGACATCGAGCAAGGAGAAGAGAGATCCCCGCTGCCGCCTAAGCCGACCGGATCGGCGCGCACACCGGCGGCGACGAGGGAGGGAGCTGGAGGAGGAGGCCTAGCCCCGGCGGTTAGGTTTGCGCCCTCGCTCGCTGTAAGGAGCGCCGCGAGGGGGTACGAGGTTAGCGAGCTACTTGTCCCCGGATCAGGTGCACGTCTAAAATGGGAGATATTTTCACTTCCTAGTCTCTGCACCAACTAGGATGCATATAACCATTTTAGTACGAGTACCATGATAAACATGGTTCTTAATTTTTTTTAAATGAGTATCAAGATATTTCTTTATGAGTGGTTCCACCACACACCAAGCTTGATTCTCAATAAATGGGAGGAAATCCTTGTGCATCACCTGCCAATTTTAGGAACTGAACTCGGGTCGTTAGGCTGCAAAGCGGCATGCCAACCACTAAGCCAAGACTCCTTTTGCACAGATCTCAACCTGGATCGACAAACTCGATTAGGCAGGTGCTGGCAAGGTTTTGGTTACCGAATGAGGCATTTTTACCGAGGGGGACTGGAAAACGCGGTTACCACGGTTACCGAGAAATACCGAAAAATACCGAGAATATTCCGAACGAATTTTATAGTTGAATTTTGAATTCAAATAAGTTAATGAACGAACATTTGAACCAAAGACCTCTCAAAACAGGAACTAGGTTCCGACCAACAAGCCAAAACCAACTCTCATGGTATTAATTAGATTCTATGTACTTTACTATAAATTGAGTGTTTAAATTCAAAAAATTCAAATAACTGGTATTTTTTGCTTGGTACGTGGATTTACCGAGGGGCACGGAAATACGCGGTAACCATGGTAAATCTCGAAATTTCGACCGGTAACCAAAACCTTGGGTGCTGGTAGTATGCCTCGCCCCTATCATCCAAATCCAACGTTGATCATGACTCAGAGGTGGGTTTACATTTCGGTTTGGGTAGCTCTCTCCCTAGCTCATTGCTTGTCGAAACGACTGTTCGAAACCTACTACTACCAGCGGTTCGATTACTGAACCCAAAAGTCCAACAACTGTATGGACCAAACTTAACTAAAACCAGCTTCAGCTGACCTTCGAAGAGGCTGTCACTTGGTAAGCAAGCGGGGCTGAGAGAAAGAGGCGCTGCTAGTTTGAGGTTTGTACTAATCTTGTGTCTACGCTACGGTAGATGAGCGTTTTCGTCGAGTAGTGGTTTTGGGGCGTGGAAAGCCAAGGATCTGACCACTATCTTAATCATTGGACTATATACGCAAATTATGGTTGGAACTGAACTCAAGAGTCTTTGAAAAGCAAACGCAACGGCGGTGGAGAGAGTTGTGCTGCTGGCCAAGGAAGAGCTAAACTCTGGAGGATGGCCAAGAGCAAAGAGGCAGGGAGTAGCGAGGAGTAGGATTGGAGTTCGGCGGCGTTGGCTCGAGTGTAAAATGTCGGTGTCTTGTGGTGGGGCATGAGCCTGTTCTTGCCCCACTGTGCCCTTGTAAATGTCGTCTCTCTTCCCCTTAGGCCCCGCTTGGATTCGGTGTAAACTTATACACCCGGATTTAATCTACAAGTGTATTTTACCGGTCGCAGTGTTATTTCCGCCTAGATTGAAAACGACGGCTCGAGGTCTGTTTTGGTTACAAGTGTATTTAGGAGCAAACCGACGATCCAAGCGGGGCCTTAATGATAATGACGAGAAACGTTGCGTTCCTTGTTCCTCAAAAGAGTACTGCATATCAAATTCTCAACTACTCCCTCAGTTTCTAAATATTTATCTTTCTAGAAATTTTAACAAATGACTACATACGGAACAAAATGAGTGATTCTACACTCTAAAATATGTCTATATACATCCGTATGTGGTAGTTCATTTCAAATCTCTAAAAAACAAATATTTAAGAACGGAGGGAGTATTATCTAAGACCGAGTGCTTGCACTGTCGTTGCATTCCCTACCGGGTGTCCAATATGACAGTTTCGCCGCAGATCTCAACCTGGATCGCCAAACTCGCTTAGGTAGGTGCTGGTAGTATGCCTCCCTCCTATCATCTTGTATGTATCTACCTCTACCTGTGATAGCTTCCCCGGGAGCGATGAGCGTTTCTCTAAAACCCTGATGCTCACCAATGCTCGCTGCATCCTAGGCATTTTGTACTGTATATTCTTTTCGCTGCCAGCGAACATTGATGCTCACTGCGTCCTAGCTAGACACCGTATATCTGTCAATTCCTCTTAATTTAATGAAAAAAAATTGGATAACACCTACTCCCTCCGTCCGAAAATACTTGTCATTAAAATGGACAAAAAGGGATGTATCTAGAACTAAAATATATCTAGATACATCTTCTTTTATTCATTTTGATGACAAGTATTTCCGGACGGAGGGAGTACTATACTCCAGCGGTTTGATTACTGAACCAGAAGACCAAAAGCTGTAACCAAGCTTAAACTACTCCACGCACTTAGCAGCATGTGCAAGGCACTTCACATGACTCCACGCACTTTCCGGCACCAAACACGTTATGTCTGCCAAAGTTTGCACTGAGGCGGCACATTCGCCCAAACTACCCACACACTTTGGTAACTACGTACTCCCTCTTTCCATAATGTTTTTTTGACACTAGTGTAGTGTCAAAAAATGTCTTACATTATGGAACTGAGGGAGTAAATTAATACCCATACTACTAACTCAAGTGCATATAGAGCTGCCTTAGCACACCAAGCATACAAAAAATATATATACAAGTCATAGAGATGCGTACAGCTCTTCAGTAAAAAAATGAACACACACAAGGACTGAGCATAGAGTTGCTGTCTTGATGCAATTACCAAGGTCCGATCCAGCAAGCAAGATCCCATCACGCACCTCGCCATCGTCTTCCCTACCGTTCTTCCTCCCAGCACCTTCAACCCAACACGTACGTATTGAGAGGCGGCGGCCATGGCGGCGCTCGGCGGTATGCTTGCTGCTGCCATGCTCAAGGTGGTGGGTGACCAGGTTGGTTCTCTGATTGGAGGTCAGATCGCGCTACAGATGAATTTGGACAAGGACCTCAAGAAGATGAAGATGGCGCTGGAGTCTGTCACGGCAGTGCTCAAGGTCGCGGAGAGGCAGTCCATCACCGACGAACTGACGGGTCTTTGGCTGAAGCGGCTCAAGGACTTCTTGTATGAGGTCTCTGACATGATTGATGAGTTCGAAGCAGATATACAAGCCATCACCCAGCCATCTGCGCGCAAGGTACGCATTTGTGCAGTAAATTGTTAGTATGGTACTTTTCTCCTTTTGAGAAACAAGTGCTTTACATCTGCTGCATCCAGATGCACACCACACCGGGGTGCTGAGCGGTAGCTTGCTTGGCTACAAAATGAGCTGCCATATAGGTATTCGAAAACAATTTGGAAAGAATTAGTTAAACTTACTGAGCTATTGAATCTGCTAGTAGATTGTTTGGCTTGATCTTGGATCTATGATTGTCCACATCTTCACCAACACTTTTTGCGACAAATGATGGATTTTATCGACTCAAAATGAAATATCAAGCGGACACAAACACAATGAGCACACACTCTGCTTCTTTATAGTTAGGATGCACACAGCTAATAAACACATCCACATCTTTACAATATTTGGTAATCTGTTATCCAGTCTCCACAACAATAATCTGGGCACCAGATCCTTGGATTAACTAGACATGGTTTTCACAGGCCTCAGCCTTCGGGCCGGGCATCTGAAACATCTCCATACCATTTTGTTTTAGCTCCAGTTCTCAGCACATCATTAAAGGTGGCATTGGTCTTAACCTTGGCAGTTACAGTCGGAGGTTCTTAGAAATAACAGGATGTCCCTCTTAATGTTTTAAACAATTTTTTTGATGGCTGAATGCATTTGTAATATCTTACTATACTAAACTGCTGGGTGCTGGCCATTTTGTATTTTACTAACAATGCAACTGTCTTGCAGTTCTTCTCCTTCAAAAAATATTTGGCGTTCATGATCCCTTGTCTCACAATTGGCCCCAACATTACAATGGCCAATACGATGAAGAACATGAGGGACAACCTCAAGGTCATAACAGATCAACACAAGGAATTCAAGTTAACAGACTGCACTAATGCCAATGAGCCAAAGGTGACTGATATACGGGAAACATCATCAACCCTGGAGACACAAATCGTTGGGAGGACTGAGGAGAGAGATATAATATTGGTTTCTTTATCTGAGAGCATGACAGAAGATATCACAATCCTTCCTATATATGGCATTGGAGGCCTTGGCAAGACAACCTTGGCAAAAATGGTTTACAATAGTTCCCAGTTCAATGAATACTCTCAAGTGTGGGTTTACGTGTCTCAGACATTTGATTTGATCAAAATTGGCAACTCTATAATATCACAACTATCAGAGAAAGATAAAGAGAGTGGGTACACTGGAAAGCAGATGATCCGTAATTCCCTTGAAAAGCTCCTTGCCAACAAGAAGATTCTGATTGTTTTAGATGACCTGTGGGAAGACGACATATCTCAGTTGGAAAAACTGAAAGATATGTTAAAAGTTGGGGAGAGCAGTAAGGTGGTTGTTATAGCAACCACACGGACTGAAGGTATTGCAAAGAAGATATCTACCATACGACCATATAAATTAGCACCCTTAACTGATGATATGTGTTGGTCTATTATAAAGCAAAAGAGTGCATTTGAATCTAGAGGTGACAAAGAGCAATTGGTGGAAATAGGGAAGGTCATTGCAATGAAGTGTGCGGGTGTGGCTTTAGCAGCTAAATCACTTGGACACACGCTGCAATCTATGAAATCTGGTCTGCATCTTCTCTGGAAGATACATCTTCTACACAAGTGCTTGCATCTCTGAAATTAAGTTATAGTGTTATGCCTTCATATCTGAAGCTATGCTTTGCCTATTGTGCAATATTTCCAAAAGGTCACGAGATACTTAAAGATGATCTTATTCACCATTGGGTTTCTCTTGGTTTCTCTACTCGGGAGCTTGGCGAGAGATACATTAGTCAGCTTTTGGGCCTTTCTTTTCTTGACCATTTCAAGTCATCAACGGTGAGTTATGCATACCTTTTACGATTTGTTTTCATTGTTCTTTTGGAACTGGCGTAAAGTAACTCAAGTATAGTTGTAAGTACACAAGCTCACAGATATTGAAATTATAATATAATTCTAAAGTTGCTGAGAATGATTTGGAGTACATCTCATTGCTCATAGTGCAGCTTTTCCAAATAACTTCTTGACAATATCTCATTGACTGATACACACAAATGCACCACAACACATCCCTACAATATTCAATTATTGGTTTTACTGTAGCATGTTAGTTAAACAAAAAGTACACATTAGTAAGTACTCCCTCGGATCTAGTATAAAGTTGAACTAAAGCAGTGACAAGGTGGATCCGAGGGAGTACTAAGGCCATCGGGAAAATTGTAATGTCCTGTTGTAAGAAATGCCCACCCGGAGGTCTTTAGTTCGCATCCAGATGTGGCACATGCATTTGCATAAACACAGTCTCTTATTTACACATGCTATTGGGCTTACTGTGACTAGCATGATTACTTGGTGCGAGAAGTTAATCTCCCTGTTCTTTTTCCGATATTCTTTTAGAATCAGTCTTTTTACAACATTAATCGAGAAATATACACCAATATATTTTGGTTCACTGTAGCGGTCTTAGAAATCATCATGGAGAATCACCCCAGGTATACATGCAAACCAGACAGTACCATCACAAAATAGTGTCAGACATACTCCCTCCGCAACTTAATATAAGACTTTTTGACATTGTTATAGTGCCAAAAACGTCTTATATTAAGTTACGGGGATACTCCCTCTGTCCCATAATGTAAGACGGTTTTTGACACTACCAATAGCATGAAAAAATGTGTTACATTATGGGACGGAAGGAGTAGTGTACATTATACTAACGGTTTTGCCAGCCACCAGTACTCACGGGACAGAGATAGCTCGAGCTAACACACGTGGACAGAGTAACCCGCCAATGAACACATGCATCAGACGGTCAATCGCTAGTCATCTTACATCAGCCAAAAGTAATAATAATAATATTCCTGCTAGCGAGCTCACATTAAAAAAGCATCGATGCAATTCCTTTCACACAAAATGGTCAAATAGACAAATACACGTTTCTCTACAACTAAGAATAAGTTCGTACATATAATTATAAGCATATCTTCTGAAACCAGTGAGATCCCATCTTTAATGGACCATGGCAGCTATCTCCACCGGGTTTCGTCAAAATTGCTGGTGATGTATCTTATGTGATAGGTTGTTCCGTACTAGTGAGAGACTGAAAAATTGTGGTTGCTGCCGCGGGATCTGATGATGCAGGCTGCCTGTTGCAACTACCTTGATGGAGGCCGAGGCCGGCTACCACCTGCCTACATAGGGAGGTGGGAGACGATGAACAGCAACCTCCTCGTCTTTCTCGTTGATAGGTCATCATCCCTAGAGGCGAGGATGAAGCAAGGCAGTGCAGGGTTTTCATTTTCCTACATATTCTTGTTTTTTTGTGCTTCTGTTGCATTAGTGTTCGCAGTATTTTTTTTCTTATTCTGAATTTTATCAAATAATTGTTTTCCTTCCCTAGTTTCCTTGAATTCACATATTTTGTTAAGTAAAATCATGTTTAACTGGCAGACGCTGGCGCAAAATAACGTCGCGTCATCAAATATGATTTTGCAATGTTTGAGACAAGAAATTCGTATGGGCTTGAGACTCAAAGTTCATAATTTTCTAGTTTGGATCTTAAAGACCAAATCTAAACTTGGGAAATAGCAGGGGACCAAAAATAAAATTTAGTGTTTAATAAAGGAGTTGACGCATGAAATGTTTTAGATTTGAGGAATGAAGTCATAAGTTGTTTAAATCTAAACAAATCCAAAAGTCTGACACTGCTGAATGATTTTGTTGCAGACTTTTGAGCTATATGATGAAGATGTTATATTGTTGACCATGCATGACCTGGTGCATGATTTAGCAAGATCTGTCATGGAGGATGAAATTATTTTTGTTGGCAATATCAATAATGCTGAAGGAAGCCGCTACCACTATGCATTGCTAGATGATTGTAGCAAGCCATTGGGATCAGACTTATCCAAGATAAGAGCGTTGCGTTTTATGGATTGTGACAAATATGAACTTCATGATGCTGCATTTTCATCTGCCAAGTCTTTGCGTGTCTTGGACTTAAGTGAGTGCACCATATATACGTTGGCAGATTGTATTGGTGAACTGAAGCAATTGAGATATCTTAATGCTTCAAGAGTCCAAGATGCAAAGATTCCGGACAGTATCACCAAGCTCTCAAAATTGATTTATCTGAATCTTCATGGATCTCCTACAATCTTAGCATTATCAGAGTCAATTGGAGAAATTGAGAGTCTAATGTATCTTGATTTGTCAAGTTGTTCGGGAATTACAAAACTGCCAGAATCATTCAGGAGGCTACAAAAATTGGCGCATTTGGACTTATCAAATTGCTCATCTGTGGAAGGAATATCAGTGTTCTTGGAGAGTCTCACAGAGCTAGAGTATTTGAACTTATCATACTGCCCAAATATCAGAGATATACCAGAAGTTCTGGGCAGCCTATCCAAACTGCAGTATTTAAACTTATCAAACAGCTCATATCTTCAATGTGGTAAAGAAGCAGAATTTTTGGGTGCCCTCACAAAACTCGAGTATTTGAACTTATCTTCAAGGGAATGTGGACTCAAAAAGCTCCCTGAATCTTTGGGCGGATTCAGTCAACTCAAGTACTTAAACTTATCAGGTTGGCGAGATATGAAAAAATTGCCAAGATTATTTGGGAGTCTGAAGAATCTGCGCCATCTTGACTTATCACGTTGTTATATGGTTGATGGTGTACATGAAGCTTTGGTTGGTCTTACCAGTCTGCAATATTTGAATTTAAAAGAAACACACGTCAGTTCCCTGCCAGATGATCTGACCAAGCTCCGGTATTTAAATCTATCTAGATTAAGAAACATACCAGTAGATTCCTCGGATGAACCGAACAAATATGCATTCAATTTCAACCCTCTCTCTGCAGAAACCTGGGACATTCTCATCAACCATATATGCGGAATTAATCTTTCAGAGCTAGAGCATTTGGACTTGTCTGGAAATTATAACATTGAAAGAATACCTGAAAGTATATGTACAGTTGGTAGCTTGAAGTTTCTTTATTTAGAGAATTGTTACAATCTTGCTGAAATACCTCAACTCGGTAGCAGTGCAATATCGTTACCACACTTTGTGGTGCGTGCTGGTAATGATGGATCTAGCAGCAATCTTGTCCTGCTAAAGTCCATAGATCCTTCTGAGCTGGAGATAACTAAACTCGAAAATGTGAAGTCCGCACGAGAGGCACATAGTATAAAATTAATGGAAAAGCAAAGCATTCGGAAGTTGAAACTGGAGTGGACTCAAGGTGTTGACAGATTTGTGGATGACAAACTGTTGCTGGAAAAACTAGTGCCTCCAAGCACGCTGAGTAGATTGGAGATAAGTGGTTATAACAGTGTCTGCTTTCCAGGCTGGGTAGTGGGCCAACTACCAAACCTGGACTCACTGGTTCTCAGAGATATGGCAAATCTGGAAGAGTGGGACACTTCATACTCCACCGGTGAGGAGAACGTGTTAAAAGTAGTAGGAATAAATGGTTGCCCAATGCTAAGGATGAAAGGGCCTCTGCCTAAATCTGAACAGTGGGAGATAATATGCAGTGATAATGTGTTATCATCATGGGATGAGTGCATTGTGTCACACACCAGTGCTTCCTCCTCTTCTCCAGTAACTACTATGTTGTCAGTTAGAGACTGCAAGGGGCCTCTGCATGAGTGGAGGTTGCTTCGACACTTCCCCGGACTCCCTTCTTTGTCTATTGCCAATTGTGGCGATCTAACCGGCTCACCAGATATCATCCAACTACTATCCTCCTTGGAGGAACTATGGCTACAAGACGAAGACATGGAAGAACTGCCAATATGGTTGGGCGAGCTCCCATCCCTAAAGAAACTGATTATAATGGGTAGCCATGGTGTAAAGGAGTTGAATGAGAACATGAGGCAACTCACAAAGCTTGAATCACTAACACTGAGCGGCTGCAGAAGCATATCTGCACTGCCACATTGGATAGGCGAATTAACCTCTCTCAAGGAACTTTTCATAGAAGACAATTATGGCTTGATGTTTTTGCCCGCAAGCATACAACAGCTCACCAGCCTCCAGCGAATAGGATTGGGTTGGCGCTATGCATTAGAGCACGTGGTTGCTGAACCAGAGGAGGGAAAGATGAAGCTCACTCACAACCAAGAAAGGGAATCTGCCCTGCCCACCTCTCTAAAGAGACTTTGTCTGAGTGGATGTGATGGTATCAAGTCTTTTCCTGAGGGAATACATCAACTCACTAACCTACAAATAACGGGGTGCCCTGGACTAAAGGAATGGTGTGAATTAGAGGAGACAAAGGCCAAGCTGGCTCGCATAGAAAAGAAGGTACGTGTCCTGCCAAGCCCTTTGTCATACATTTCTTATTTTGATATGCTTCATCTTTCTTCTTTTCTTGATGTATTCAGTCTTGCATTTCTTATTGAGTTTTTCATGCATAAATGCAGAGATATTTATCTACTTGGCATTCCAATTTCCCTTTTGTTTAAAAGCGCCTTGCTTTGCAAAATATAATAACAGTGCAAAGACGAGTAGTCTAATTTCTAGAGTACGTCTAGTGACAGTGTACCGTCAAACACATAATATTGTGTCACGTATGTATGGCGCATATACACCTGACCTGGCCGCGTCTATCATTAGGAGAGATAGAGCTTAGGTTGTAACCGAATACCTCTTTGTAATCTCTCTCTTATCTCTTGTTCTCCAAGATGTAATCTTCTTATCTCTCTAGAAGATCTCCAACTACTTTGTATGCGTTGTTGCCAGGGAGGTGCGCCCCTGATTATATAACACGTAACGCGTCCCTCTGAACGAGGTAAGACGCTTCTGCCTATTCGCACATGGTAATCAGAGCTGCCTCTTCCAAACTCATCTAGGGTTCCAGTAGCAATAGCATCCATGTCTTCCTCCTCCGCCACCTTCCACTCAAGCCTAAACGGCCAGGTCACGGAGAAGCTCTCCCGCACAAATTATGTGCTATGGCGGACACAGATCACACCCCAGCTGAGAGGGGCTGGTCTCTTTGGCTATGCGGACGGCACCATGCCGGAACCAGCTAGCCTTCTCGATCGTCACCAAGGACAAGGACGGGAAGGAGACTTCTGAGCCCAACCCTCTCCACCCCATCTGGGTCAAGGAGGACCAGCAGGTGCTCGGCTTCCTGCTAAGCAACCTCTCAAAAGAGGTGCTCGTCACGGTGACCGCGATCACCACCGCGCACGCGCTCTGGACGGCGCTGGCGGGCATGTTTTCGTCGCAGTCCTTGAGCCGCGTCAACAACATCCGCACCGCCCTCATCAATGCCCAGAAAGGTAATCAATCAGTCGCCGCCTACTTCGCCTCTATGCGTGGCCTCGCCAATGAGCTCGCCTCGGCTGGCAAAGCCATCCAGGATGACGAGATGATCTCCTACATCATCCATGGGCTGGACATGGACTACCAGCCTCTTGTCTCGGCCCTCGACGCCCGCGTCACGCCCGTCTCCCTCGACGAACTCTTTGCCATGCTCAGCAACTTCGATCAGCGCATGGCCCAGTTCCAGAACTCCGGTGGTGGCTTCAAGTCGTCTGCAAACGCAGCCACGCGTGGACGTGGCGGCCACTCCTCGCGCCCTCCTCATCCCAAGGGCAAGCACGGCGGTCCCGGCAACTCCACCAACTCAAGCCCTCGCTCCGGGCGCCCCAACTCCACCAACACCAGGGAGCGCCGTGGTGGCTATGGCAAGTCTCGCCCCGATGTTGTCCGTTGTCAGATCTGCGGCAAGCCTGGCCACATGGCCAAGGACTGCTGGTACAGATTTAATGAGGATGATGCATCTTCTGAAGATGATGACAAGGTGGCCGCCGCCGCGGAGGGAGCCTATGGCGTGGATACCAACTGGTATCTAGACAGCGGCGCCACCAACCATCTCACGGGCGAGCTAGAGAAGGTGACTCTCCGCAAGAAGTATCAAGGGAAGGATCAGATCCACACCGCCAGCGGTGCAGGTATGAGGATCAGTCATATAGGTCATTCAGTTTTTCGTACCCCTTCCCGTAAGATCCATCTTCGCAAAATCTTGCATGTTCCTAGTGCCAACAAAAACCTTCTGTCTGTTCATCGCATCACCATTGACAATAATGTTTTCATTGAGTTTCATCCGTCTTTCTTCTTGATCAAGGATCAGGCCACGAGGAAAACTCTCTATCGAGGTAGATGCGTTCGAGGACTTTACCCGTTGCTTCCGGAGTTTCGAAGAAACAATAAACAAGCTTGTGGTGCTATCAAGCTTTCGTCCACACGATGGCACGATCGTCTAGGACATGCCTCTTTTTCCTTAGTTGAATGTTTGCTTAGGAAGAATAAGCTCCCGTTTATTGGTGAGCGTCATGTTGAAACTATTTGTGATTCATGCCAAAGAGCAAAATGTCATCAATTGCCTTATCCCATCTCTACAAGTGTCTCTACTAAACCTTTGCAATTAATATTTTCCGATGTTTGGGGTCCTGCCCCTAGCTCTGTTGGGAGACACACATACTATGTTAGTTTTATTGATGACTACAGCAAGTTTTCTTGGATCTATCTTCTTAAGAAAAGATCCGAAGTGTTTCAAGTATTTATAAACTTCCAAGCCCTCGTTGAACGCCAGTTTGATAGCAAAATACTTGCTGTCCAATCCGACTAGGGAGGGGAATATGAGAAGCTCAATTCCTTCTTCCAAACACTTGGCATTTCCCATCATGTGTCATGCCCTCACGCTCACCAACAAAATGGCTTAGCGGAGCGCAAGCATAGGCACATAGTTGAAGTTGGTTTAGCTCTCCTAGCAGGTGCCTCTATGCCCTCAAATTCTGGGATGAGGCCTTCCTCACTGATGTACACATTATCAACATGCTTCCAAGTCGTGTCATAAACAATGAAACTCCCACCGAAAGACTCCTTCATGTCAAACCAGATTATACATCGCTTCGTGTCTTTGGGTGCGCATGTTGGCCAAATCTCCGTCCTTACAACACTCGCAAACTAATGTTTCGCTCAAAACAGTGTGTTTTTCTTGGGTATAGTGCTCAACACAAGGGGGTGAAGTGTCTTGATGTCTCTACTGGCCGCGTCTATATTTCACGAGATGTGGTTTTTGACGAGACTAAGTTTCCTTTCTCTGAACTTCATCCCAATGCCGGTGCATTACTCCGCAAAGAAATCCTTCTTTTATCTACTAATCTTACCGGGCTTGCTCAAGGGGCACAAAACTGTGATGATTCTATGATGACTAACCCTCTTACTGCATTGCATGAGTTGTATGATGATGCAGGAGACGGTACAGAAAAAAATGGACGAGAAAATCCTGAAGAAATTGGTGCAGCCGGGCCTTATTTCATGTGTCCAGAATCTGGGAGCAAATCCCCCTCGGGATCAGGGCTGACAGGCGCTGCAGATCCGTCAGCCGAATCCCCCTCGGGATCTACACCCACTGCAGTCCTGGGTCGATCCGCCCCGGAGTCCGCGCCAACAGCTGCCTCAGGTGCGCCCGACCGAGCGACAGGAGCCGGTCCCGCACCTGGTCTGCGCCAACCAGCGGCTGGCGACCGCGTGATCGCCGTTCCGCGCCAATCCCCCACGCCCATGTGTCCGCCGCCTGTGAGCGCTCGCTTCCCGGTCCAACCGGTGTGTTACAAGCGGCGCGATCTGCGTCGACCGACCGGCGCGGGCTCCACTGCTGACGCACGGGGGGCTGAGCCTGGATCTTCTGCGCCTCGTCTGCACGTCAGTGGCTCATCTGCCGCCACAGAAGATCCAGCGCCTGATGCAGCTGATCCGGTGCCCGACGCAGCTGCTGCAACCGCATCCTCCTTGGGATCGGCGCCTGGTGCAACTCCTGTAGATGCCGTGGGATCCTCTACACCAGCACCGCGACGTACACGACTGCAGAAAGGGGTAATCCAACCTATTGATTATAAGCATATAACAAAATATGGTATGATCTGCTCCACAGGAGAACCAGGAGAACCATACACGCTTGAGGAAGCACTTGGTGATGAACATTGGAGAGAGGCCATGACAGAAGAATACATGGCCCTAAAAAGGAACAAAACCTGGCATTTGGTCCCTCCATAGCAAGGTAAAAACATCATTGATTGCAAGTGGGTATTTAGGATCAAAAGGAAATCTGATGGAACCATTGATCGCTACAAAGCACGGCTTGTGGCAAAGGGTTTTAAACAACGGTATGGTATAGACTATGAGGACACCTTTAGTCCTGTTGTTAAAGCAGCCACCATCCGTCTTGTCTTGTCTATTGCAGTCTCCAGAGGTTGGAGTCTTAGACAACTAGATGTAAAGAACGTGTTTCTTCATGGTGTTCTGGAAGAGGAAGTGTACATGAAACAACCACCTGGGTTTGAAAGTAAGAATAAACCTCTTCATGTGTGCAAACTTGATAAAGCACTATATGGTTTGAAACAAGCTCCTAGAGCATGGTACTCACGTCTCAGTCACAAAATGCAGACACTTGGTTTTATACCTTCTAAGTCAGATACCTCACTGTTCATTTACAATAAGTGCAACACACATATATTTGTTCTCATATATGTTGATGATATTATTGTCACAAATTCATCTGATGAGGCTATCTCAGGACTCTTGAAGGATCTTAGTGCAGAATTTTCTCTCACGGATCTTGGAGAGTTGCACTACTTTCTAGGGATAGAGGTGAAGAAGCATGAAGATGGCATTCATCTATCTCAAGAAAAGTATGCAACAGATTTGGTAAAAAAGGCTGGCTTGCAAGGTTGTAAACCCTCACCTACTCCATTGTCTAGTTTTGAAAAATTATCTCTCACAGAGGGGAAACCGTTGAACTCAGATGACAGCACAAAGTACAGAAGTCTAGTAGGTGCACTTCAATATTTAACACTTACAAGACCTGATATTTCGTTTGCTGTCAATAAAGTCTGCCAGTTTCTTCATGCACCTACTACAGTTCATTGGACTGCTGCAAAGCGCATAGTCAGATATGTTAAGCACACCCTCAATGTTGGTCTTAATCTTAGTAAGTCATCATCTACACTTGTGAGTGCCTTCTCAGATTCAGATTGGGCAGGATGCCTGGATGATAGACGTTCAACTGGTGGCTTTGCAGTATTCTTTGGTCCTAACCTGATTTCATGGTGTGCAAGAAAACAGGCCACAGTTTCCAGATCCAGCACAGAGGCGGAGTACAAAGCATTAGCAAATGCTACAGCTGAGATTATATGGGTACAGTCCATGCTGAAAGAACTTGGTGTTAAAAGTGCAAAGGTTCCCTGTCTGTGGTGTGATAACTTGGGTGCTACATATCTGTCTGCTAACCCTGTTTTTCATGCCAGGACAAAACATATAGAGATTGATTTTCATTTTCTCAGAGAAAGAGCGGCTCAAAAGCAGCTTGACATTCGCTTTGTGCATTCTCAGGATCAAATTGCAGATGGATTCACCAAGGCTCTTCCTGTTAAAAGTTTTGAAGCCTTCAAATATAATCTCAACTTGATGAAGTTGTGATTAAGGGAGGGTGTCAAACACATAATACTGTGTCACGTATGTATGGCGCATATACACCTGACCTAGCCGCGTCTATCATTAGGAGAGATAGAGCTTAGGTTGTAACCGAATACCTCTTTGTAATCTCTCTCTCTTATCTCTTGTTCTTCAAGATGTAATCTTCTTATCTCGCCCCTGATTATATAACACGTAACGCGTCCCTCTGAACGAGGTAAGACGCTTCTGCCTATTCGCACATGTACCACTACCAATGTAAAGATGGACACAATAACTGACTTGTGAATTTGTTTGCAGCACAGGCCAGTGCGTTATTTATACCTGGAACATTTTTTTTCTTGATCTGAACAAAACATCTTCCTTGTGTATACAAAATCTGCACTTATCATTCATATCAACTAGAATCAAATCTAATCAAGGAATTTTCACCATTCATTTCGCAGTACATTAGATGCTAGACGGTGCGTATACTGCACACCCAGGTTGCAAAATGAAGGGCCTGAATCACCCAGCAAGATTTTTTTGTGGATGATTCAAATTGACAATGTACTTGAAGGAGGACCACGTCAGGAGCAAGGGAATTAAGAGCTGTGGCGATGGGAAACTTTTTTGCAAGGTTGCAGCATGGAAGTCTGAGGCCGCAGGTCATCACCTCTACTAGCTAGTGTTCTGTTCTACATAGTATCCAAGGTGTCAACCTAGTCCTTTGTACTTCGTGCTTAGTTTGCATAGTTTTGTTTCCTGCGTCGATCACTGTACTACTTTTTTTTTTTGCGGGTAGATCACTGTACTACTTTTGTACAGTAGTATATTTGATCAGAGATACAGATGATTGTAAAACTTGTATGTTAGTGCCTTGCATTCATTCGGTCTTGTTGAGCGTGATAGGTGATGCTGTACTTGCTTGTTGAGAATGCCTAAACACTCAAAGTCTGTTGCTAGTTTGTTTGTCTTGTCTGTCAGCAAACTACTCTACTTGTACTGTTGCTACTCTACTCGGTGTTAACGGGCAGCTAACCATGCTGAAGAAAGCCTGAAACATATGACAGTGGCGCTACATCGTCTTACCCGAGTGGTCGGCTGGTGGCGTCTCCTCGTGCCCCGCCGCGTTGTGCCCACGACCTCTATCTCCCTCGCCATCTCCGGTCGCCGACCTCCTCTGCTCGAGCTCCACGGTGGCGCACTGGCGCTAGGGCGAGAGGATGGCGGTGGACCGGAGGTGAAAGAATTCCGGCCGTCCTAGCGCTTGGAGGAAGGGGGGAGGAAGTCAAGGGAGGGCAGCCGGCTCGCCGGCGTTGTGTTGCGCGTGATTTGGGGAATTTGACAACACGACGAGCCATGTGCGTACTGGACTCACTGGACTCGATTTGATGATACAGGCCCAGCCCACTGCGGACCAGCCCGAACTCTTTATATATATATACACTATCCACACTAGCTCGGATGGTTGTTATCAGAATCCTTTGTTTGCTTTGAGATCCGAACCTGTCAGTGGATAAGGTTTTAATATAATGATTTGTTGAATTTCGTCACGCCAGGGAAAGAAAGCTGGGCCGAATTTTTTTGGTGTCAGGGGCCGAGAAAGGAAGCCTACTGCCTGGCTTTGCAGGTGTACTCAGGGTAAAGTGACGGCGTCCCTTTTTGAAGCAGCAGTGTGCGCCAGTAGCTGTTTTGGGCCAGCAAATGCATCGGCTAATTCTGGCCATTTACCAAAAGTTCCAAGGCGCGGTGTACTTGGCTGGTAGTGTTGAAGCTGCTATTTTCGCCTAGCAAGCTGTGCGCTGTTGGGCACCGTTTGAGAGTAGCAAGATGGTCCTGTGACGCGTTGGAACAGGGGTGTAAGATTTGCCATATTTAGCCTAGGTGAATTGAATACTGTTTTGCACCGTCCAACCGTATGGGCTTCTAATTACTAACGCCACCGTCCAACTCTTTGTTTTGCATGTATCTAGCATCTTGCTTGTTGTCCAGCTGCGGCAACATGCATGCAATAACTAAAGCCGCTGCTCAGCTCTGGCTTTGCATATAACAAGACCCTTCCTCTTCTTTGCCCCTGCGCTACACTAAGAAGTTGATGAAAATAATGGAGGGTTTAGGAGATGGCCGCGCAAGCAAAGGTAGCCGGAGTACACCGTGCATGCAAACGAACCGCCCGGACGTTCCTTGCTACAAACCGTCGAGGCCAGACGACTCTGGCGATGCACCGAACTTGGACGGCACGATCACAGACGACCAGTGGCGGAGCCAGAATTTTTGTGAAGCCTGGGCAAAGTTGAGCCAAGTGTCTAACTTAAAAATCAAAGGATACCAAGGGTACTCGGCCAAGTCCGATATCCGCTCGGCAACTAGTTTACCGATTGTGACACTCGGTAAACTCTATTCAGTGTACCCTCTTCAGTTTCACCGAGTTCCTTCCCTCAAATACTCGGCAAAGACTTTACCCAGTGTCAACATGAGCTACAAGGCAGAATCTACCTTTCGTACCATACTCGACAAAGATGGATCCACTAAAGGGTGGCGTGTGCCCTTGATGTTTACCAAGTGTCGTCTTCGACAAAGCGTTCACATGTTTGCCGAGTACCTACTGCACGATACTCGGCGAAGATGAGTCATTGGAGGGCGCCATGTGTCAAAAGGCTCGGAAGCCATAAGTCATAAAGCAAGGCCATGCATAGAACTAAACCTGCTATGTTGACATTAATGTTGGGTAACGTAGTAATTTCAAAAAAATTCCTACGCACACGCAAGATCATGGTGATGCATAGCAACGAGAGGGGAGGGTGTGATCTACGTACCCTTGTAGATCGACAACGGAAGCGTTATGAGAACGCGGTTGATATAGTCGTACGTCTTCACGGCCCGACCAATCAAGCACCGAAACTACGGCACCTCCGAGTTCTAGCACACGTTCAGCTCGATGACGATCCCCGGACTTTGATCCAGCAAAGTGTCGGGAAAGAGTTCCATCAGCACGACGGCGTGGTGACGATCTTGATGTACTAATGTTGCAGGGCTTCGCCTAAGCACTGCTACAATATTATCGAGGACTATGGTGGAAGGGGGCACCGCACACGGCTAAGAATATGATCACGTGGATCAACTTGTGTCTCTAGGGGGTGCCCCTGCCTCCGTATATAAAGGCTCAAAGGGGGGAGCCGGCCGGCCAAGAGGAGGCGCGCCAGGAGGAGTCCTACTCCCTCCGGGAGTAGGACTCCCCCCCCCTTTCCTAGTTGGAATAGGATTCGTGGAGGGGGGAAAGAGGAGAGAGAGGAGGAAGGGGGCCGGCCCCCTCTCCTTGTCCTATTCGGACCAAGGGGGGGAGTGGCGCGCGGCCCATCTCTGGCCACCTCTCCTCTCTTCCACCAAGGCCCACTAAGGCCCATATACCTCCCGGGGGGTTCCGGTAACCTCCCGGTACTCCGGTAAAATCCCGATTTCACCCGGAACACTTTCGATATCCAAACATAGGCTTCCAATATATCAATCTTTATGTCTCGACCATTTCGAGACTCCTCATCATGTCCGTGATCACATCCGGGACTCCGAACTCCTTCGGTACATCAAAACTCATAAACTCATAATATAACTGTCATCGAAACCTTAAGCGTGCGGACCTTACGGGTTCGAGAACAATGTAGACATGACCGAGACTCGTCTCCTGTCAATAACCAATAGCGGAACCTGGATGCTCATATTGGCTCCTACATATTCTACGAAGATCTTTATCGGTCAGACCGCATAACAACATACGTTGTTCCCTTTGTCATCGGTATGTTACTTGCCCGAGATTTGATCGTCGGTATCCAATACCTAGTTCAATCTCGTTACCGGCAAGTCTCTTTACTCGTTCCGTAATACATCATCCCGCAACTAACTCATTAGTTGCAATGCTTGCAAGGCTTAAGTGATGTGCATTACCGAGAGGGCCCAGAGATACCTCTCCGACAATCGGAGTGACAAATCCTAATCTCGAAATACGTCAACCCAACATGTACCTTTGGAGACACCTGTAGAGCACCTTTATAATCACCCAGTTACGTTGTGACGTTTGGTAGCACACAAAGTGTTCCTCCGGCCCACGGGGTTACATAATCTCATAGTCATAGGAACATGTATAAGTCATGGAGAAAGCAATAGCAACATACTAAACGATTGGGTGCTAAGCTAATGGAATGAGTCATGTCAATCAGATCATTCAACTAATGATGTGATCCCGTTTAATCAAATGACAACTCTTTGTCCATGGTTAGGAAACATAACCATCTTTGATTAACGAGCTAGTCAAGTAGAGGCATACTAATGACACTCTGTTTGTCTATGTATTCACACATGTATTATGTTTCCGGTTAATACAATTCTAGCATGAATAATAAACATTTATCATGAAATAAGGAAATAAATAATAACTTTATTATTGCCTTTAGGGCATATTTCCTTCAGTCTCCCGCTTGCACTAGAGTCAATAATCTAGATCACATCACCATGTGATTAACATCGATAGTTCACATCATCATGTGATTAACACCCATAGTTCACATCGCCATGTGACCAACACCCAAAGGGTTTACTAGATTCAGTAATCTAGTTCACATCGCTTATGTGATTAACACCCAAAGAGTACTAAGGTGTGATCATGTTTTGCTTGTGAGAGAAGTTTAGTCAACGGGTCTGCCATATTCAGATCCGTATGTATTTTGCAAATTTCTATGTCAACGATGCTATGCATGGAGCTACTCTTAGATAATTGCTTCCACTTTCAATACGTATCCAGATTGAGACTTGGAGTCATCTAGATCAATGTCAAAATTTGCACCAACGTAACCCTTTACGACGAACCCTTTTTTTGTCACGTCCATAATTGAGAAACATATCCTTATTCCACTAAGGATAATTTTAACCGCTGTCCAGTGATCTACTCCTAGATCACTATTGTACTCCCTTGCCAAAATCAGTGTAGGGTATACAATAGATCTGGTACACAGCATGACATACTTTATAGAACCTATGGCCAAGGCATAGGGAATGACTTTCATTCTCTTTCTATCTTCTGTCGTGGTCGTGTTTTGAGTCTTACTCAATTTCACACCTTGTAACACAGAAAAGAACTCTTTCTTTGACTGTTCCATTTTGAACTACTTCAAAATCTTGTCAAGGTATGTACTCATTGAAAAAACTTATCAAGCGTTTTGATCTATCTCTATAGATCTTGATGCTCAATATGTAAGTAGCTTCACCGAGGTCTTTCTTTGAAAAACTTCTTTCAAATACTCCTTTATGCTTTGCAGAATAATTCTACATTATTTCCGATCAACAATATGTCATTCACATATACTTATCAGAAATGTTGTAGTGCTCCCACTCATTTTCTTGTAAATACAGGCTTCACCGCAAGTCTGTATAAAACTATATGCTTTGATCAACTTATCAAAGCGTGTATTCCAACTCCGAGATGCTTGCA